TCTGGGACCCGGGTTTCCGGCAGGGTTCCTAGATAATGATGTAAGCGATTGTTTGCAGCATGATGAGTACTACATCAAAAGCTGGTACAGCTAAGCAGTTGCAGTGCATTAGCACGGCATACTAGACAGCGAACGTTGTGCTCTTTGCGGCCCCAGCACACTACCTGCAGAAACTGTTCCATACAAGACTGAAGACTATGCCGTACAGTGCTGTGATGCACTGTGCTATATTTTGCTATATTACCATCTTACCATACGCTCTACGACCCACCCCTCTGCGGTGGGATGCTTGGAGTATGTGAGGGTCATACGCGCATGGTGCATTCCTAAACTTGAGACTGCGGCTGCGAAAGCCAGACGCGCACCGGCGTGTTTAATTTTACGCACGCAGCGGCGCAAGCTTACCAAAGACATTTGAAGAACTCCAGTGGTGAAGAGCTTCTACCCATACTTTGCGAGTGTGCGCACATGCCTGCTCAACTCTGCGTCCCAACGAAAACAAGGCATTTTTTGGGGGGACCGCCCACACACCCAGCCCCCGCCCCGGGTTGAATCAATCATTTAAGGTTTAAGGGGGGGAGGGGGGCCCCCCTAACACGCCATTAACTAAAGTCTTTTCATACCACTTAAGGCCCGCAGTCGCCTGTTGATCCACCTGAATCACTTCAGAGAAATTGATCGGTGAACGACGACTCCCACATGCTCCGAGGAGCTAGCTTTCGTGATTCTCGGTGTCCCTGGACCTGAGCGTCCTGTGTTTGCAATTCGCGACCCGCAACCCTTGTACTCGGACAGTATACGGTCTACATACAATAGTGCAACACACATTAGCAACACACAGCAGAAGAAGGATTGCAGCAATATGAATCAGCGATACCCCAAGAACTGGTAAAGCCAAGAAAGTATATAGGGTGGGGCCGACATATCAAAATAGCCTGCGCCTGCGTGATGTGCTTGTTACCATCCAAATTACCCAAACACAAGGACCGGGGAACTGGCAAAGAGAGCTGCCATCCTGACCCCTTTTGGAAAATCAAGAAAGAAAGACTAAATACAATTTTTTTGCATGATCCCCTCATCAGGTTTTACGTTTAAAGTTATCCCCTGAACGTTATGCTAACTCGCGTTAACAAAAAAGTCTAACTCTCGAATTCTTCTTCCCTTCGAGCCATGGAGTCTCTAGATCCTCAGTAGCTCGTGAAACTTGGAAAGGTGGGCTAACTTTTGAGCTTTTTCGGGGCCTTGCGAATAGACAGTAGAATCACAAGGACTTTCTTCAATTTTTGATACTTTTTCTGGAGCGTGCCAATTGACTTGCGCGATGTCTCAAAGTGCATTGTTCTGCTCATAGCTAAGACGTCTTGTAGATTCTCTATTTCTATTCAGCTCTGGTTGCTTTTGTCACGTCCATTTTGCCGTTGCGAGGACCTATTGCTATTTTGCCTTTGATTTAGGCAACCTTGATAGCCCCCTGTTCCATCACCATGCAGAACAACCGTTGAAGTCACCATGTGATCCAGGAAACTGCGATCATGGGTCATTACCAATAGGGTTCCGTCATAATCAAAGAAAACATGTCCTGTAGGTGATGATCCAGTGTATCCCTATCCAAGTCCTTGGTTGGATCGTCCAAACCATAAATGTAAACTGGTGAGCCAAAGATAAAGCCAATGAAAGTCTGTTCTTGTCTCCTCCTGAAAGTGATCAAGCAGGACGTGTCACCTGATCGGAAAATCTTTTAAGTATGCGACAACATGGGACACGACAACTGCCAGTGAGTCTTTCCAGGATCTAATTGGGTAAAGAATGTTTTCCTCGATGTGCTTGTTTCTTGTTGAGTTTCCTGAACCCGGCTTTAGATCTCCAATTAACATGTTGAAAAGGGTCGTCTTCCCGGCTCCAGTAGGTCCTATCATTCATTCCAATAGTCCCCTCGGGTAACGTTGATACTGAAGAGGGACGAGGACTTTATCTCCATATGCTTTACATAACTGACGTCTTTCAATTGTATGCCGTGTCGATTTATCACGACTGTCAGCCTTTAACCTTGCCATTTTCAGAGTTTTGATTTGCTTTCTCTTCCGCTGTGCGGGAATTCCCTTGTGGACCATTCCGTGTCTCGATAATCTTTGCTAAAATTCAACTGAGATTTGGTCTCCTCATCCATGATTTTTTCAGGCCACTCCTGAAACTTCATTCAAGCGTCTCACATTTCCTCGATCTAGCCACAAAGTTACTGACGTTGTGTTTGAGAGAAGGCCCGGTCGTGGTAAATACAAAAGAAAGCTTCCCCGATAGCTATTCATCTTGGCTCCAACCATTCAAGAGTTGCCATGTCTGAATGGTTTGACGTCTCATCGAAATAACATATCTGGTTCTGCAACAAGAGCTTGGCCTGTCCCCTGAAAGATTCCCAACTAGCCGGCCCTTTGGAATCCCGACTCCTTCAAGAATTTTTTCCGCCTGATAGTGGGTTGCCCCTTGTGTGACTCCACGTGCTCGAATGCTGTGATATTGTGAGAAAACATGGGGTCTTGAGGCATACGAACTTATGTTCCCGTGTTGGACAAAACCCTCTCCATCGTCTGGCCCAACAGTTCCAGCGATCACCTTCACTTATGTTGATTTATGGGAACCATTTTCGTGGGAGAATGGGAGCTGCCATAAAGGCCATTCTAACTTGATTTAAATTTAGGCTGCCTGCATCATGCCAAACCCGAGTTCATCATCGCCTAGCAAGGGGGAGCTTTTTCCGTTAAATAGTTGGTCATGCCACCATCCATTCTAGAGATCCCATCCCGAAGCTGACACGATTCCAAGCTAAATACGACGATTCTTTTTGCCTTCTTTGGAAACATCTATGTTGGCTTGAAAGGCAACTGATTTGAACTCATCAAAAGCAGTTCCTGTCCCCAACACATTAACTCATTCCCATTTCTCATTCCCATGTTGATTGAGGAATCTTAAATCAGCAGCCACTCCTCGCCCATGCAAAAACCCTTCTTCTGCAAGAAAGGTCTCATCAGGAGCATGTTCGCACATAGCCATTTCGCCTCAGAAGGCCTGAAACCATAGAGCATAGCCTAGCTCGCGAGCTAGCTTGGCTTTTGCAGCCTGCCGTGACATACCCAGAGGTCTGCGGCGAGGGGGGATGGTGCAGGTCCGTCGCTTTGGGAGAGTTCTTCCGGGCCTTGGCCCCCTCCTCACCGATCCCGTTGCTTTGAAGCTCGATGCGGGTGACGGTGCGGTTCGTCCTGAGGATCTCGGCGAGGGCCTGGCAGGGCTGGGGGGATGGCGTGGGTCCGTCGGCCTGGGGGCTCTGGGGGAGAGCACTCCCGGGCCTTGGCCCCCTCGACACCGAGCCCTTTGCTTGTGAGCTTCAGGTGGGTGATGCTGCTGTTCGCCTCGAAGGCCTCCTTTACGGCCTGACAAGGACGAAAGGGAGGCTTGCGATTTCTCCTCCGCCTCGAACTTGATTGTGCAAAAAAAGGACAATGGAAGGTCTCATCGAGCGAAGATGCGTTGACAGTCTGATGTAGTCGCAAGCATCTCTTTGTACGGTTTCTGTGTCTGGGATGGTCAAGGGCTTCAAGTTCATGCTTGCTCGCCTGGTGGCTCGGGGTTCAGTCGGGGAGGCCAACTACGGCCCTCTCGAGAGCACCGAACCACTAGGCTGAGAAAACGTATTGCACTCAATCTCCCTGCAAAAGTCACGACTTGGTTTTCACGCAGCATGCACTGCGCCCGCTGCAGAATGCCTGCTTTTTTTCCTGCAGAACAGCAAGCCACGGGCTCGGAGTAAGGGTTTCTGGAGCTCCTCCAAAGAAAAAGGCCCTCCAAACCATCCAAGCCATCCAAGCCATCCAAGGTCCGAGGCCCTGGGGTGACTCCCTGAACTTCGGTAGGCCCGGGATCCCTCCGCTGCCCAGCAAGGAAGAAACGAAAAACATCCAACTCACGTCGTGCACGAGTCAACAGCTATGTGGATTTAGAGGCAGGCTGCGTTGCGTATCGAGGCTTGCGGAACCTTGCTGCGGATTATCACATCATAATGCCCAGACGCAGCCGCCTGTATCCCGTGAGCAGCCATCTCCTTTACGCCACCAGAACACCAACACCTGCGTGCAACTTCTTATGGATTCGCAGGAGTTCCGTGAGCTTGGAGGTTTCGGGCGTACCGGAAACATCCTCAGTGGACGAAACACACCCCCAACTGCACAGAGGGTTTGCTAAGGCTCTAGTCTAACTGAAGGGCTCAGGCTCAATTCATGGCCAGGGCTGGGTTCAAGGGACATCTCGAGGCTAAACTGGCTTCTGCAATGTGTGAGTACAAACATCTACTTCAGCAGAGGCTCTTCAAGACAAACGGGGGAATTGCTACCGCTGTCTTGCTCAGATGCTTCATCCTGAATGTCCCTGAAACTGAAGCCCTCATCACAGTCTTTACTGGGGCTCCAAAGCTTTACTTAGCAGCTCCGAGCAATCAAACACCTCCCGCCTCCAGCAGCTGCCACAGGGATCAGCCGAGGCAGGGTAGCGTCCAAGAGGAGTTGACCCATTGTTTCAACTTCGGCGCCGCTCGCATGTACCAGTACTACTTTGCGTTGGTGGGTGAAGCCCGTCGAAGCTCAAATCTGCAGTACGCATTCAAAGCTGCCAATGAAACTTGATGATTTGCATCCTTGATCCATCGCAGCTGATGTCATGCATCCCCCACAAACTGAGTACAGCAGACCCCCAGGTGCTCAGGAAGTCGAGCCTGCAACATCTGCATACATGAATATGTAGCTGTCTCATGGTACGAGCTATGGTATAGATAAAGTGCCATCGCCCAACATGTGAAAGACCATGAATGTGATACAGCTCTGGTCGCTGCGCAATCCCTCAACATACTGGACCCACGAAATTAATACTGCAAGGCCTGAGAGGAACTTCTACCTGATTGGGTACAGGGATGGTACCTACTCCAGGACGCCGGGTTATCAGCTAGTGGGAAGAACATGGTCGTAACCGCCTTGAAAGGCGACTTCGGCCAGCCACGCAACCAGCGGAGATCAAGCGGCATGACCAGCAACACCGACGAGCAGGTTGCAGGATGATATGAGCGATGGTGAAGACTATTCCGCAACCGCAGAGACCCAAGATGAGGACTGGAGCGAGGTACCGTAAAGTCAAGCCCTCATGGCGGGGCAGGAGGACACCGCAGCCTAGGCCCTGGCCGCCATTCAGCAGGCCAAGCGCACCGTGCGGGTGGCCAGGACAAAGCAGCATACCATCCGCATGTCGCGGAAGTACTACGGCGATGATCCTTCAGGCAGAACTTCAGAACAGAGAATGCTTCTTTCGCACCCAATCGTGATGACAGCGAGATGACCTGCCTGAGGTGTGGAAGAATTGGGCACCGGGCCACAAAAGACCAAGGAGAAGCCCCTGATGAGCAAGCGTGATCGAGCAGAAGCTGCGGGTCTGGGATAGGAAGTCCTGGATGGCGGGGCCACACGGACTTTGGGTATGGTGGCAGCCAATGAAGCGGCGATGGCCCGCAACCGGCAGAAGAAAGGTGAAGATGGCATTGCCAGTGTGGACACCACGGATTCGTGTACAGTGGAGAGGCACAGCGCGTACTATCCAGCTCAAGTTGCAGGCAAATAGCAAGGGAGCGGGCCTCCAGGCGCACACCCTGGGCAAGAGCGGAGGGCCAATCCTCCTCAGTGTGGCCACCTTGCGGTTTGTCGGGGCCCTGCTCGACTTCGAGAATGAGTTGCTGACCCTGCGGGCCTTGGATAGTGGATGATACCCCTTCAGTCGCTCTCAGGCCACCAGCCGATTGACCTTACGGAAGATCTGTTCGAAGATGCCTACGTGACCAAGCAAGCAGTTCCCAGTTTGAAGATGTACGTAGGGGACGTAGAGTAGGGACATCTCCTCATGTCTGAACAGCCGGAGAGCACCACTCAAGAGAGCAACAACGGGTTCGAACCTAGTAAATCAAGAGATCCTTCGGAACGATGTCTGAGGGTAGATCAGTTCGTTGTCGAACGCTTGAAGACATTACTGATCCCATTTCTGAGCAGACTGTACATACCATGCAGCAGCGTGACTTCTCGAGTCGTAGCCTGCAATCGTGTAACAATCGTTGCGACTTCGTGGTGCAACATGGATCGCCTCAACAAGGCTCAGCTGAAGGGCAAGCTGCAGGAGTTCAGGGAAACTCCTCCCAGCAGCTGGACATGTCCGGAGCTGCGCCAACGACCTCGCGAGCTCAATGGAGTATACACCAGCCAGCAGAAGGAACTTCATATGCTACATGTCATGTTGTCCGGAAACGAAACAGTGGCCCACCTCGAGACCAAGGCCCTGAACCACTTGCACGAGACCGTCGAGAGCCACAGCCAAGATGTGAAGATGTGGTGGGGGTTGGACGTCATCGGCGAACCTGACGTACTTCTGGAGCTCAAGACGCAGAAGCCACAATACGTGGAGTAGCTGCAGATAGACTTGCAGGGAGACAAAGTGAACCCTCGCATGCAGGCGAATCAACCGCTCCACAAAGTCGAGGAGACAGGGCTGGACAATGCGCAGTTGGAAAGCTCCAACTGCACTTGAAAGCCACGGCCAAATTCTCCGTCGAACCCGAGGCCGACGAGGACAAGGATCCGATGAAGTGTGTCAGCGGCTCCAAGACCACGAAGGCGGCGAGTCGGCGAGTGCGAGTGGCGACAAGGCTACAAGTTCCACCAGCGAGATGGCCGACATCATGAAGAAGCTTGTGGGTGTGGTGCAGCTCCACACCGAGGTCAAGGAGTTGAAGAGCGAGGGGAGTCGACGACCTCGCAAGCCGTTCGAAGGTCACAAGGAGCACGAGTCGCTTCAGGGCCCAAAGCGGTGTTTGACGTCGACGTAGAGGATCGGGACCTGGAGGCGATTGAGGGTGCACCAAGCTTAGGCGTTTCTTGCAGTGGAGCAATATGAGCAATGGCGTTAGAGCGTCGTGACCTTAGTGACGGCAAGGCTCGTCAGATGGAGGAACCGTCTCATGCAGTGATTCCTGACATACTCCAAAAGCTTAGCGGGCGTAGCGACAATGGAGTGCAGAGGCCTGTGCTTATGGAAGTGGCGCGCGTGCCGAATAGTCCGCTCACTCAGGCAGTTCACGAGGACCAGACAAAAGGTGGAAGCAGTAGCAACAGTCGTCCTCGTCGGCCACCAGGAGCTCTAAGACAGGAAGGCTTTGCTCAAGCAGAGGCATGGTGGACGATGGTATCAGACAACCATTGGGATGAAACAGCAGCAGGTTCGCCGAGGAAGCGCCGCAGTCGCCATCGAGATTGAGATGCCTGTCAGCAACCGTGATTGGCAAGCACCTTACGCGGACATGACTGGATACTCCATTGGTGCACTCAAACGTGGAGCGATGGAGGTAAGCGAGCACCGGCTATCAACAGAAGACAAAGACAAATATCGAAATGCGAAATCTGTAGAAGTTATACCTGCCAAGGCGTTTGAGGCCATTGGCGCCGAATGGACAACTCCGAGGTATGATCTCGGGGCATGTAGATGACTTCGTGTTCAGCGGCCGCTCCGACGACGAGGAGTGGCAAGCCGTTCTGGAAAAGATTCGACAAAGGCCTCAAGGGGGTGACTGGGAGGACGAGAAGTTCGCCTCGCTATGTTGAAGGTCTTCAAGAGGTTCCCATCAACTCCAACCACCGCAAGGACCGTAAGAGCCCGACAACGGAAAAGGAGAAGAGTCAACGTTCAGCTGAGGGCAGTACTGGGAGGCCTTTCATGGCATGCGCAGCAAGTTGCGCCTCATCTTTCTGCTGAGGTCAGTCTTCTTCGGTCCGAGGTTTACCGCACGCAAGGACCATCAAATGGTCATCCACTCAGCCACTGGGATTTTACGCCTGGATCAGACGCGCTGTGATGGTGGCAGTACTCAAGGGATTCTGGTGCGAACAGGACCTTTGGGTTTGCTGAATGAGCAGCTTGGTAAGCTTAGCTTGGTTTCTTGGCATTCGGGCCTGCCGCTCGCCAGGAGGGCGGCGGTCAATGGAGAGGATGCTTTCTATTTTGCCAGGTATCAGTAGAGTGAGCTCTTGCACGGATCAGCCGACCTTGGCGATCCGGATGGACATGTGAGCCGGGTCCCAGGCTGCGTCATTACAGACTCCCGCAATGTGTATGACAAGCTGCAGTCCGAAGTCCTGGTCATCAAGGGAGCAGAAAAACGCTCCAATATGGAACTGTTGAGTTCGAAGGAAGCTTCACGAAACACCAGCCGGGTGGTGCGTCGGACCATGTCGTGAACTAGAACCGTTTTGTCGAAAGCAACATTCTTGGAAAATCGTAGAGGATGAACAGATGCGACCAGCCAGGAAGCGCCAAGCTGCAGGCTTGAATCCTTTGAGCTCGGAAATGGAAGAGAAGTCAGATGTTCTGAAAAAGAAAAACGGCGCCCTCTTTTTGGGGCACAAGGTGGCAGGTGAAACTTGCGTGCTCCCTCTTGAGGTCATCACGACTTCGCACGACTTTGGGGATGTTTGGGGGATCACTATCCAATTCCCATCTTGGGAGCGCTACCATCCACCGTGGGGGTCTCAGGAACATGATATGTTGGCATCGAGATGAAGGTGCAGGTTGCGAGGCTGCGAACACTTTGGGCTTTGAGAGCCTATAAACTATAATGTTGTCTGCTGATTAGTGTGGCGACCCCCCCCCCCCCCCCTCAACAAATGGACTCCGCTCTTTAGTATGTATGGGGGGGGGGGGGGGGGGCGGGGGGAGGTCTGGCTTTATATGATTTTAAAAGGGGTGAGACTGTCTGAAACTAAAAGGGATCCATACGATTTCAAGAGGGATGAGTTTATTTGAATTTACAAGGGATTATATGATGTTAAAAGGGATCCACATGATTTTAAAATGGATGAGTTTATATGAATTTACAGGGGATCCATCTATCCCAACCAAGCCAGCCTGAAAAAAAACAATATAATTCCGGGGGACCAAAAGCTTTATATTATACGGCATTCGGGCAGCTGGACTGCCCCCTTTGAAATTTGATTGCCCGGCCTCGGTACAAAAGAATTTAATAAGTAAATCTTGGTTTTGGGGCTGGCCTGGAGACTGAAGATTTCAGGGCCCGACAACCTCAGGCTTCCAGGTTTCAGGCTTTAAGCCTTTGATCTTTGGTCTCTCAGGCTCAGTTCAGAAGCGATTTCTAGACAACAACGCCATTCAACAGCCTCGCCGAAATTTTGCATCGCCCGACTTTTTTTCACAATTCCGGGGGACCTCCTCAAATAGACCCCCTGAAGAGTTTTTGGAGTTTTTTCACGATTCCGGGGGGGCACACTAATCAGGATACAACATTAAAGCCGATGTCGGCCGCGCTATTTGGGGCTCCCGCAGGCTTCTGCTCTGCTCTCTTACGCAACGGGTTGCGCGTTGGGGGGAACGTGCTGCAGCTTCCTGGCGTGGAGCACCACACTTGCCACCCAAAGCCCTGAAACCCGACGGCCAAACCCTCGACTCAACGCTGAGTCTGAGGCCTCGGGCGGGCTTGGGTTCCGGAGGGCTTTATTGTCTCTTTCAAGTCTTGCAAGTAGGTCTCTGCTTGCGACCTTGTGGGGAGGTTGAGGCTTGGGGAATTTGGAGGTTCGGCTTTGGGTTCTTTGGGGTTTGGGTTTGAGTGCAGGTAGAGAGGTATCAGAGTTTAAGGTTTAGGGCGACTCAAGATCTGAACCTGTCTAGGCCCGTGATGGCCCAGGCACGTAGGGCTCAGGTATTTAGGGCCAATCACAGCCTGACATTTTCATGTACCGCGAGGCTGCATGCTGGAGTCGTATACTACGGCCCTGCACTCACGTTAATTGCGCAAAGCTCTGAAAGGCCAGGTACATGGATCCATCTTCCGAAGACAGCTTGGAACACATACCAGTCCTAGACAAAAGAGCAGTGGACCCACCGTGTCCTAAAGGCAGTAGAACATGACAGAAGCCATCTCTCTGAGCTGTTCGATTGTATCCTGCCTTCTCGCTCCGCGACCGGTGCCATCCCCTTTCCCACAGGGTTATATGTCAGGGCATCTTGCGCTGATCTTCCATGATGCATGTTTCACATGCACCCCTGCGGGCACTACATGTCCCACATTAACAGACTGGGCTGAGCTCGCTTCACGAGATCCGCCGGCTCAAGTTGGAGTCTTCTCCAAGCTTCGCTCCCCTGAGTGCACGTCGGGGAGTGACCAGTCTACACGCAGCTCCAAAACCTTTTTTGGAACCCCTTCCCCTCGAGAATACATCTCAATACCTGGGGAAGAGGCAGGAAGCAGAAATGAATGTTGCAGGGGTCTGAGATGCTCTTTGTTTAGGATTGGGCTCGGAATGGTGGTCTGGAAAACTGTTTTCTGCAAAAAAAGACCTGGTATTCTCGAGCAGCCAGGGAATACGCGAAGGTATTCGGGGAAAGGGGGGGGGGATGATCTGGGCATCCCTTCCGGGGCAGCCAGAAATTTGCGGGAATGTATTCTGGAGGGAGGAGGGGAAAGTACTCTGCAATACTCCTTCCGGGTGTAGACATGAATATAATGACCAAAGAAGCAAATCGTACAGATCGGAATCCTCGGAACATCTGACGCGAAGCTGGGTCCGTCGACGTCTGAGCTCAGCAACAAGCCCCGAATACGTTTAATAGAGCGGCGTCTGACTCTGGCACGGTCGGCTACGTGCTGAAACGGGACGCGGCACACAGCGGTACATATAGAAGTCCACCCGCGCGCGCCTCGCGAGTTCTGCGGACTCCGAGTGTCCTGAGCCGAGCAAAATCGAACATCAATATTGGAACGAAGTTCGAGGCACAGAAAAACACCGGGCCATCCAACGCCTAGCGAGATCCACATCTATCTTCATGCAGAGCAGCTCCAAACTCCCCACCTCTTCATCCCGAGTCGTCTGCTGCCTTGGCAGCTGTAGTTTCAGGTCAAACTCCGAAGCGGCTGCCATGGCGCTCCAGCACACACAAAAGTCCAGCAGCTAACAACATTAAAAACCGAGTGGCTGCATTTCGCGCAGAGCCGCGAGGCGCATCTAGCCACCGAGGATGTGGTCGCCACTCCCGGTCGCACGGACGTCGCCAGGCTGGAGGAAGAGACCAGCATGCTCAAACTCTGCTGGCGATGAACATTTCAAAGCAAAACCGTCCTCGGCCCCAGCCTTGGCAGCCGCGAGCTCCTGCAACGGCTTTGCAGCTGCAAATGTGCGCTCTGTCCTGTCTCCCGTCTCCCTCACTGCGAAATCCTGCCAACGGTGCAATAACGTCCTGAGCATTCAGTTTCGTCGGATTGTTGGGGACACCCCTATAACTATAACCCCCTAAGTACTCATTAGTTGGCAGGCAGAACCCAGCTGCTTCGGGTGCCGCTCCTGGGTGCCACGGGTCCGCCGGAACTGGGCCGCGCGGATGCCCCTCACCCTGGCAGCCTGCGAAGGGGCTTCGAGAGCAAATGCATTCAGCCTTCACATTTTTTTGCACCGAGGCCTCCTGGCTGGGAGCTTCGGACGGCGCTTGAGGTCGGAGCCCACTGCCACCAGTCTCCTGCTCTGTGGCCCCCTTCCTCCCCAGTGTGCCTGTGCCTTTGCCTCGTGTCGAATATTCCCAGGCCCGGCGTTCGACCCAGATATCACGGCCTCGTCAGCAGCCGCAGCGCCTGACACAAAATTACACCACTAATGGGCAGCTAGGGAGACCTAGCAGCGCGCCCTTAGTGAGCGGAGCTGTCCAACCGCGAGCTCCGAATTGGCAATGCATGGTGTCGGGCCTGGAGGCAAATCCAGGCCCAGGCACCTTGTGAGGTGGACATCAAAATTGCCGCCACGAGGCTGCAAATACACCCAGGCCAACACCCACACTCGCCTGTAGCACAGAAGATCCATGTGCCGCTGCAGGCCCGAAAGGACGTTGTCCGCTTCCAACGCTTTGACCTACCCATGCTTCTGGTGACTATCAGATTTTGCAAAACCCGGCACTGCACTTCACTTCCAAGCAGTCCTTCAAGAGGTGAGCGGGCGACAGAGACGCGATACTGTCGATCCTCTTCGGGAGCAACGAAGCCTGACTGCGGCAGCGGTGAAACCTTCTCCGAAACAAACAAACCATGTTCTGATCGGCCTCACTGTCCTTTGCACATGAGGGCCATGACACTGCTACATTTTGCCACATGCTGCCACATGCCGCCACGCTGCATCACAGATGTTGGTCGGGTACGGGATCGCTGCAAAGTGCACCTCTGTCAACTTGCCCGTCTGTCTGAGTAGCGGGCCAATCGCCTGGCGGCGAGCAGAGTGTCATGTATGACAGGGCATTCTCGAGATCCTAGGCAGCTCCTGACTGCCGGCCTCTTGAGGGAAGTTCAGGTCGCCGGCCAGCAGAGTGGGGACGGAGCCGCAATCCTCTTTGACGAGGCCGGCGACGCAGTCGCAGAACTCCAGCCGCGCGGGACCGTAGGGCCGGCCCGGGAGGTGCCTCGATTGAGGCCCCTAAGAGGAAAATATTTAACAAGAGAACCCAACCAAGGCTTGCGGAGGCAACATCACCGTTCCACTGCCCAATGGCAAGCTGCGTGGTGATGACCCGGAGCTGGCCATCGTCGCCCGCTTCTCCCAGCCAGTGAAAGAGGGCCACGGCAACAACCTGCATGAATGAGTGCAGCAGCGACAGCTCTTCCGCAAAACGTACATGATTGCACCTTAATCCAATCACGCACAAGACCCCGAGGCCTTCTTCGGCTCGGACGCGTACGGATAGCACCGGAAGTCACGGAGCGCCAGGAAGGTCTTATCGAAGATGATTGCCTTTGCAAAACACACACACACACACACACACACACACACACACACACACACACACACACACACACACACACACACACACACACACACACACACACACACACAACAACACACACACAACAACACACACACACACACACACACACACACACACACACACACACACACACACACACATGGCCCTCAGTTGTTCACATTCCACTCTCGGGATGTCTCATTATGTCATAGAGCTGCTGCCGTGGGGGTCATTGGATGGGATTAGGATGATGCGTGGAATCGCCAGCCGAAAGAGCACAATGGCAAAGCATGCGAGTCGGCCCCCCGCATCATTTAATCGCACCCTCTTCCCAGCCTCCTGGTTCTTCTGGCTCCTGTCCGTGCCCGTGCAGAGCATGCCATAGCCTTCCGCAAGCAGCTCCGCCTCCAGCAGGTCGAGCAGCTCGGACCAGCACTCCTGCAGGCAGAGGACAGCTTTCGGACGCGTCTCGTGGCACAGCATCTCCATGACGGCATCGACGATCTCCTGGGCCCTCTGCTCGGCACTGATCTGCTGCAATCGGGCGCCCTTGAGCCCCTGCAAGTCTTCCTCGATGAACTTCATGTAGTGCCTGTTTAGGATGTTCCAGGAGCAGACGTAGAGGCTCTTGCTCGGCCCCTCCTGACCACTTCCGGTTTTCATGTTCATGGCCACCTGGGCCCCGACGGGCAGATGGTCTGAGGGGAAGTCCCACGACTGCCGGAGGGGCTCGACGATGGGGCGCTTGAAGTTCTGCGAGCTTCCGAACCAGTTGACCACCGCAAGCTCCACGCAGCCCTCCAGCACATCATGGACTTGTTCCAATACAGCTTCCCACGCGCTCGCCGGCAAGCTCATGACATCCTGTGAACCCTCCTGGACCTGGTGAAGTCTCGTCAGGACATCCTCGATGCATGCGCTACCATCCATTGCCGCCTCCCGTCCGGGCCCTTCCACCTTGAGCTGCACCTGGAGCCTTCTCAAGCTTTCACCTGGGTGCCACATGGCACACGCATGCGCATGCCGGGAGCAATCTAGTTTCCTTGTCTGAAGAGTTCCTACAGAATGCAGGTCTGAGGTAGCGGCTCAGACATGGAATGTCGTTCAGGGCTTCTCTGTGCAAGCTTGTCCTCAGGGGCACTGAAAGAACAGCAACGCTCAGATTTTGCACTTTCCCCAAAGCCGAACCGGGCATGGCCTCGACAGCATGTCCCGAAGTGTCTCCGCATGCGCGGCGACCTGCGCCAGCTGGGCCGGCCATCCTCCGAAGATCGGCTTCAGGGCCTGGAGCACAGCCAAGTGCTTCTCGACGTCGATGGACCGCTGCGCCAAGTACGCGCTGTGCTCCCACAGGCGTTTCGCCTGGGGGAGCTGCAAAAAAAAAAACGCCTTCCAACGTCGCATTTGAAACTTCAACCCTACCTGATGAGTTACTTGGCAGCGTGCCTTGAGGCTTGGGAGATAAACATTAATCAGATAATCTAGACGTTGGGACATTCAGCCCTGTTCAGGCTTTCAGAAATCATCGTGGGCACGTGCAGAAGAGCTGCGAGCTTCATGGCTTTGGGATGCGGGCCCGAGTACTCACGCATGCCCTTCTCCACCACATGAAGGAAGTCAACCTCAGGAGTCACTGGGTGAACCAAGCTGTTGCCGGGATCGTAGCCGCAGCGGATGACGTTCGTGAGCTCATAGAAGCGCGGCGCATCTTCCATGCTCCTCTCAAGAAGCCCGCACCTGACGTAAAAGTCGATCTTGGCCGTCCGTCCTCCCTGCTGCTGCAAAGCATCCTCCAGCTTCACTGGCTCTGCACTCTGAAGGCACTTCTTCTCTCCTGCCATCACTTCGCTCACGGACCAGCTCAGAGACTCGCCTGGCTTCTCCGGATTCTTGCCAGCCTTTAGCGCAACCACGTGCAGAGTCGTCTCAGAGCTGCATGTGGAAGCTGCTTTGCAGAGGTCTTGGAGCAGCTGCATCAAAGCTCTGATGGCGGCTCCCGCGGCTCGCTTCTGTGTCTCCTCCGTCTCCTTCAGATCCGTAGCCTGCATGCTCACCACGACATACTCCTCAAGGTCCACATCGCACGGGTGGAGCACCTGCTGGAACCGGAAGCTGCCAGCAGGACGTGTCAGCCTCTGAAGCGAGGAGCGATCGATGGCGTCCCGCAGGCCTTGACTGAAGTCGCCGTCGAAGCGCTCTTCCAGCAACTCGGCCAGCTTGCAATGGGGGCAGGTGGCGTTGCAGTCGGCTTGGAGGCAAGGCGTGCGTCTGACGAAGCCCTCGATGTCCTTGATGCGGTCGCAATCGACACCTCGAAATACGGGGTGCTGTGTCAGGGCCTCGGTCCCGAGCACGTGCACCGACTTGCTGCTCAGGCCCATGGCTCTGCAAAGGTCCTCGACAATGTCCTGGACGTCCGCCTGGAGCTCCTCAGCTGAACGGGCGCCTGCCTGCGTGACCACCAGACGAAGGAGCTTATGGAGCTTGTGCTGAATGCGGGGGGTGGTCGGGAAGAGCGAGATGCTTACCAAGGCATCCTTGTCTGTGCGGAACTCCATGCGGTTCCGGAAGATTTGGGGCGCCCCGGGCCTCAGTGTAGTCTGCCCTTCTGAGCTGTTGCCATTGCAAGCAGCCGCAGCTCTCAGCCTGCAGAGGCGTCCAGCAATCTCGGGGAAGAGGTTCGACGAGATGAAGCCAGCGACATCAAGATAGACGATCTTGCTCTCAGCAGCGCGAGGTTCCGGAATAAAGGCCGTAGGCAAACAGCACGGCACCGTAAACTCGTCTTGGACAAGCCGTCTCAGAACGAGGCCTCGTGACACCATGATCTCCAGCATGACCTTCCTCTCCAGATCGGTGATGCCTTCCCTGGCCCACAGCTTCTTGAGGAGATCCCAAGTTATGATGCCGCTTGTCTTGAAGCGATACACCGCCTGGGTCATGCTCCTGCTGACGTCATCGATCGTGTTCTTGTACTCCTCCGAGTGTTCGAGGCCGCTCTCTTCCCAGAATCGCAAGCTCATGATGGAGGAGAGCGCCACTGCAACCCTCCTGATGTTCAACACCACGCATCTCCCCAACTCATCTGCGTCGAACCAGAACAGCGTCCCCAAGGAGTGCAGAAGTCGCAGCACCTTGGGCACCTCCTCTTTGGAAATGCCGATTGGCCTCATGCCACCAAGTAACGCTTCGACTTGCTCGAGTCGCAGCGAGTGGCACTGCACCCGAACAATCAGCTCCGTTGCCGCTACATCATGCCCGCTCTTCCAGCTCACATGGGCGGACTCCGGGGCCACGAAGCGGTGCCCGAGCACAGCATGGGTCCCTTGCAGGTCCTTTGACAGCACAGCCGAACCCCCTACGCCTATTTGGCGCGGACGCGAAAGGCTGGCGTCAAGGTCATTCGGGTCGACCTTGAGCTCGAAGGACTCACCCAGCTCGGAAAGCAGGTCGTGCGCAAGCAACCACGCTGCTGGATGTAGCTCTGCCTGCAGTCCGACGTGCGGTGGCGTGGCAGAACGTGCCGGTGCCGTTCTTTCCCATTCTGGAATGGGCGAGAGGACTTCGCTTGCGAGCCGCTGGAGACTGCTTCGCAAGGGCCCGATGTCTGCTTCTGCATTCTCGGAGAAGTTCTCTACCGGATGCAGCCATCCCAGGTTGTCCCCGACTCGCTGAAGTTGGCGGCTCAGCCGGGGCAGCTGCTGAAGCAAGAGGTTGATGCGCTCCTCCATCTTTTGTTTGTCGAAGTCTGGATGCCGACTGGCCCACTTGGTGCCAACGATCACGACTGGTGGGGCCGACTCAGAGCTCTGCGAGGAGTTTGAGGCCAAGCCATCGTAGCCATGGTCAGCGTCCACCGCATACTGGGCCACCGCCCACAACCAGAACTTGAGATCCTGCCACGCCTCCTCCAAGCCACAGCTCGTGTCGCAGAAGACCACGTAGATGCCGCGGCCGTGGAAGTAGAGCAGGTTACAGAGGACGTATGCCTGCTGGCCGGGGAAGTCCCAGCACTGGAGTCTGGGCCGCAGCGCGGGATTTGCATCTTCGCCTTCGCTATCGCTAGAAGAGCTGGACTCCAAGGCCAGGTCGTCCAATAGCCGCGGCCCCACGGTCTCTGGCAGCTCCTCCTTGGGCTCGGCATCGCGCTGACTTGCCTTGGCCGTAGCGCCTGCGGCGGTGGCATCTGCGCGCTCGGACTCTTCCGGAGGCATCCCCGGGGACTCTGGGGCTGGCTGCCTTCCGACCAACGCCTCTGGCTTGTACGTGGAGCTTGCGGCGGTGCTCCTCCTCCTCCTCCTCCGCTCACGACAGGCAGTCTCATCGTACATTCGCGCATCGCACTCCTCCCACTCATGCGAGAGATGCTCCTGGGCTTGTCCGGCCCAGACGTGCACACCGTGTGTGGAGACTTCGTCGCGACTTGGCTGCTTGCCCCTCAGCCGCCTTGGCACAAGGCCCGGGACATGGCATACAGATGACCTCTACCACTATAGACTATAGACTCTGACCATGCGGACTGGTGACTGGTGAACTAATTGCCACACGAGGGCTTTGCTAAGAAGCTCGAAAAGTGCCACTCGCCCCCCCCCCCTCAGCTGCCTCATGGTGGTCGTCTTTCCGGCGCGACCCCGGCCGACGAAGCAAAGACGGACCACTGGCAACGGCGCCCTGCCCGATTTCTGCCACTTCTCCAGCTGTTGGCGACCTTACCGCATGTGCAGGCAGTGGCTTGTCCGAGCACAAGCCCTTCGTGATACATGGCCAAAATTATGCTACACATAGTTGAAAGGTCTCACAATGGGCTTTCCCACTTCCAATTTGCTTGCTCATTCTCACACTCTTCAAATATTCCTAGGAGGCTCTCGGTTCATGGAACGGTGAGCTGAAATCGCAGGTTCTCTATGGAGGTTAACCACTATTGAATCTGAACGCCCCCTTCGTAATGCTCCCATTTCTTATCTAGACTTACTGAGGAGCGATTCGAAAATGAACCGGAGGAGGTCACACCCCGAATCCAATCCCGAATCAGTCAAATAGCTTCTAGACCTAGTTTATCTTAGATCGGCTACTGTCAGTACCGTGCTCTCATACACCCCACACCCAGACGGCCACAAAACGTAATCAAAAGCATAATCAGACATTGATCAAAATACGTGCCGGCTTCCGTACACGGTCTTCGTTTAAGCGCGGAATCTGCACGTCTAAGTGCAGAATCAGCACATGCAAACTCACATTCTGATTCAAAGCCCAAAAAACACTGCAAATCTTCAGCCGAGTAGCGTTCATTGTTTTTCTGCTCCCTGTGGGCAGCCTGTAGCCAAGAATCTATTTCAAGGGTGGCATCCAAAACTCACATGCCTCAACATCCGGCCGCGCACGAATTTGCTTACCCAATTCAACACACAGTTTTGGGGTCTCCAGCTCACTCACCTGTTTTTTTCCGTACCCCATACGGACAATTTCGCTTCTTTTGATGAGCGCGACGGGGTTCATCTGCCGCCTGCACTAGGCTCTGTTTCCCCAACCCCCCTTGTGGGCTCAAAAAGCCACACGTGGTTGCAAAGCACAGCCTCACGGAACAAACGCACGCAACCTTTAGTCTCAAGCTGATGGCAACCATGGCAACAAACAATTTCCCGTCTGAACACAGAGCGTCGGGTGTTTTTCAATAAGGCATTTTGAAGCTTTGGTCTTGCAATTATCTGTGCTGATGGATACGGACAATACGCGCATTTGCCACGGTTCCGTGCTTGTTCGATGTATGGTACAGTGCTCCCAAAAGAGTTGCATTTGGAACCAAGAAAGATGGAGTTGGTACCGCCAAAGTACCAGCCACATATGGCAGGGAGAACATCAGGATGAAACCTGGGCCCTCTGCGACTCGGCTTGAGCCCAGAGCCCCATTTCGCAATTTGTAATTTCTGTGATTTTTTGTGACTTCCCACCATGATGCCCCCAACGACCCATGACACATGCCCCATGCCAAAAACATCCGCCCTCTGCATTCGGTGTGATCCCTGTCGATAGGGGCAGGCCATAGTTGAAACATCTTGAAGCCCGGCAGGATCCCATCCAAATGTAGTGGCCAGACGGTGAGGCCACACAGCTATGGTATGGTACAGCTTCCGACAGGCCGAATAGCCTCCCGACCCGCGGTTGCCCGGCACGTGCTGCGGCGCTCGACACTGGTTTCAGACAGGTATCCAGATGCACGAAGCATGACAGACAGAAAGAGGTGTTCAAGAAGGGCCCGCCTGATTCCTCTTGCAGGCCTCTCTTATATCGGCTTCGGCCTGGGAAGGGGTTGATGGTACGGGATTCTGGGACCTAGGGTTTTTTCCGGCAGGGCTCCCACTTATTGCGGTACGCGACCTGTTGCAGCAATGTCTGAATCCGAAACCTACACTCTGCTGTTGCTACATCGGGTCACAAGTCTGGAAAACTGGTGTAGCTAAGCCATCTACGACCCACTCTCTCCAGGGGTGGAGTATGTGGGAGTCATACGCGGATGGCGTATTTTCCTGTGGGGTCGCCCCTCTATTTGCTACCTTTCGTCCTCAGCGTGAAGTGTTAGACGAAAGGCGTTGCATTCCCGGGGTCGGCAAAAAGTGCTCGGGGCTGGGCTTTTGGCTCCGGGGCTTTTCGCGTCGAAGGCTTGAATGTGGCTGTTACCTTCGAAAGTACCCTGGCAAAGAGAGCTGACATCCTGATTTGTATAGGAAAAAGTGTGTCACTTTCGGGGCAGGGCAGTTTCAAATGGGATTCCTGGCAGAATTCTGGCCCTGATTTCACTTCAGGCCTCGATGTGGAAGAATGTGCGATCTCAGGCTTATGCATGGGACGAACCGTGACATCGCGAAGGCGCAACTTGCCAATCAACGGGCGCAATTTCGCGGAAATTCTGCCTGATGCCCATCTGAGATGGGTTCTGAAACATGATGGTCTTCAAGGCTGCTCAGCCTTCCTTCACACGCTTTCGGGTGCTACAAGTAGCTTTGCGCCAGCTTTGCGCACCATGGCCTTGGGGCGCGTTCCGGGAGGCTCTCGCTTCCGCTATGTCACTTCCTGGCGATGCCTTCTAAGAAGTGTGATTGTCCCTACAATGTACATACGGTTGTCATCGAAGTCCCTCGACTACACCGTACACCGTACTCTTTCTGCCATATTGCCTGCGAGTGGGGTATGTGGGCGGAGGGGCGAGGTGGTCCCGCGAAATATGCGGGACTATTTCCATGGACCACAGTGCTTCTGGTCAGAGCCCACAGACGATGATTCCATCGCTAAACAAAAATTGCGAGCCCAGAAAAGCCCTGTAAACCTGCAAACTCTCAACCCTAAACCCTGAGCCTAAACCCTGAAGCCCAAACCCGAAGCCCTCCGACGCCGTCTGACATGTCTGAACGGAAGTTGCGGAAAAAACGCTCGGGGCTTTGGGCCCCGGACCAGGCCTTGGGCTTTGCGAGTGCTTGGGGGGACGTAACTTCGGAGCACTCCGTAGCACTCCGGGCCTTGGCTCCCTCGGCACCGATCTGGTTGCGGTCAAGCTGGATAAAGGTGACGCTGCCGTTCGTCTTGAGGGCCTCGGCTAAGGCCTGCGGCGAGGGGATGGTGCAGGTCCGCAGCTGGCGGCTTTGGGGGAGCACGCAGGGCCGCCTTTATATCGGCTTGGGGCTGGCCAGGGGCTGTTGTATGGGGCTTCCGGAACCCCCAGTTATTCCGGGGAGCGATCTGCTGCTGCAATCAGAATCCCAAATCTACACCATGCCCTTGCTACATCTGGTCACAAACCTGAAAAAGAATTCTACACTCGAAGGCAATACGTCGTCTACGAAGATCAACTACAGTACGAATGAGCAACGTTTAGCAGCACACATGAGAAGAAGGATTACAGCAATATGAAGGAGCAATACACCAACAAAACTGGTAACGCCAAGTAATTGCAACATTAGCAACATAGCAGCATGCGGATGCCTGCATCATGTGGCTGTTACCTTCGAGGTTACCCTGGCAAAGAGAGCTGCCATCCTGATTTGTATAGGAAAAAGTGTCACTTTCGGGGCAGGGCAGTTTCAAATGGGATCCCTGGCAGCATTCTGGCCCTGATTTCACTTCAGGCCTCGATGTGGAAGAATGTGCGATCTCAGGCTTATGCATGGGAGAACCGTGACATCGCGAAGGCGCAACTTGCCAATCAACGGGCTCAATTTCGCGTAATTCTGTTCTGAAACATGATGGTCTTCAAGGCTGCTCAGCCTTCCTTCACACACTTTCGGGTGCTACAAGTAGATTTGCGCCAGCTTTGCGCACCATGGCCTTGGGGCGTGTTCCGGGAGGCTATCGCTTCCGCTATGTCAGTTCCGGGCGATGCCTTCTAAGAAGTGTGATTGTCCCTACAGTTGTACATACGGTTGTCATCGAAGTCCCTCGACTACACCGTACACCGTACTCTTTCTGCCATATTGCCTGCGAGTGGGGTATGTGGGCGGAGGGGCGAGGTTGTCCCGCGAAATATGCGGGACTATTTCCATGGACCACAGTGCTTCTGGTCAGCGCCCACAGACGATGATTCCATCGCTAAACAAAAATTGCGAGCCCAGAAAAGCCCTGTAAACCTGCAAACTCTCAACCCTAAACCCTGAGCCTAAACCCTGAAGCCCAAACCCGAAGCCCTCCGACGCCGTCTGACATGTCTGAACGGAAGTTGTGGAAAAAACGCTCGGGGCTTTGGGCCCCGGACCAGGCCTTGGGCTTTGCGAGTGCTTGGGGGGACGTAACTTCGGAGCACTCCGTAGCACTCCGGGCCTTGGCTCCCTCGGCACCGATCTGGTTGGCAGCGAGGTCGATGGAGGTGACGCTGCCGTTCGTCTTGAGGGCCTCGGCTAAGGCCTGCGGCGAGGGGATGGTGCAGGTCTGCAGCTGGCGGCTTTGGGGGAGCACGCAGGGCCGCCTTTATATCGGCTTGGGGCTGGCCAGGGGCTGTTGTATGGGGCTTCCGGAACCCCCAGCTATTCCGGGGAGCGATCTGCTGCTGCAATCAGAATCCCAAATCTACACCATGCCCTTGCCACATCTGGTCACAAACCTGAAAAAGAATTCTACACTCGAAGAGTATACGTCGTCTGCGAAGATCAACTACAGTACGAATGAGAAACGTTTAGCAGCACACATGAGAAGAAGGATTACAGCAATGTGAAGGAGCAATACACCAACAAAACTGGTAACGCCAAGTAATTGCAACATTAGCAACATAGCAGCATGCGGATGCCTGCATCATGTGGCTGTTACCTTCGAGGCTACCCTGGCAAAGAGAGCTGCCATCCTGATTTGTATAGGAAAAAGTGTGTCACTTTCGGGGCAGGGCAGTTTCAAATGGCCCCGATTTCACTTCAGGCCTCGATGTGGAAGAATGTGCGATCTCAGGCTTATGCATGGGACGAACCGTGACATCGCGAAGGCGCAACTTGCCAATCAGCAATTTCACGGAAATTCTGCCTGATGCCCATCTGAGATGGGTTCTGAAACATGATGGTCTTCAAGGCTGCTCAGCCTTCCTTCACACGCTTTCGGGTGCTACAAGTAGCTTTGCGCCAGCTTTGCGCACCATGGCCTTGGGGCGTGTTCCGGGAGGCTATCGCTTCAACTATGTCAGTTCCGGGCGATGCCTTCTAAGAAGTGTGATTGTCCCTACAATTGTACATACGGTTGTCATCGAAGTCCCTCGACTACACCATCCCGTACACCGTACTCTTTCTGCCATATTGCCTGCAAGTGGAGTATGTGGGCTGGGTTGGGCGAGGTGGTCCCGCGAAATATGCGGGACTATTTCCATGGACCACAGTGCTTCTGGTCAGAGCCCACAGACGATGATTCCATCGCTAAACAAAATTTGCGAGCCCAGAAAAGCCCTGTAAACCTGCAAACTCTCAACCCTAAACCCTGAGCCTATACCCTGAAGCCTCCACCCGAAGCCCTCCGACGCCGTCTGACATGTCTGAACGGAAGTTGTGGAAAAAACGCTCGGGGCTTTGGGCCCCGGACCAGGCCTTGGGCTTTGCGAGTGCTTGGGGGGACGTAACTTCGGAGCACTCCGTAGCACTCCGGGCCTTGGCTCCCTCATCACCGATCCGGTTGAAACTAAGGTGGATATTGGTGACGCTGCCGTTCGTCTTGAGCACCTCGGCTAAGGCCTGCGGCGAGGGGATGGTGCAGGTCCGCAGCTGGCAGCTTTTAGGGGAGCACGCGGGGCCGCCTTTATATCGGCTTGCGGCTGGTCAGGGGCTGTTGTATGGGGCTTCCGGAACCCCCAGTTATTCCGGGGAGCGATCTGCTGCTGCAATCAGAATTCCAAATCTACGCCATGCCCTTGCTACATCTGGTCACAAACCTGAAAAAGAATTCTACACTCGAAGAGTATACGTCGTCTGCGAAGATCAACTACAGCACGAATGAGAAACGTTTAGCAGCACACATGAGAAGAAGGATTACAGCAATGTTATGGAGCAATACACCAACAAAACTGGTAACGCCAAGTAATTGCAACATTAGCAACATAGCAGCATGCGGATGCCTGCATCATGTGGCTGTTACCTTCGAGGCTACCCTGGCAAAGAGAGCTGCCATCCTGATTTGTATAGGAAAAAGTGTGTCACTTTCGGGGCAGGGCAGTTTCAAATGGGATTCCTGGCAGCATTCTGGCCCTGATTTCACTTCAGGCCTCGATGTGGAAGAATGTGCGATCTCAGGCTTATGCATGGGACGAGCCGTGACATCGCGAAGGCGCAACTTGCCAATCAACGGGCTCAATTTCGCGTAATTCTGTTCTGAAACATGATGGTCTTCAAGGCTGCTCAGCCTTCCTTCACACACTTTCGGGTGCTACAAGTAGATTTGCGCCAGCTTTGCGCACCATGGCCTTGGGGCGTGTTCCGGGAGGCTATCGCTTCCGCTATGTCAGTTCCGGGCGATGCCTTCTAAGAAGTGTGATTGTCCCTACAGTTGTACATACGGTTGTCATCGAAGTCCCTCGACTACACCGTACACCGTACTCTTTCTGCCATATTGCCTGCGAGTGGAGTATGTGGGCGGAGGGGCGAGGTGGTCCCGCGAAATATCCGGGACTATTTCCATGGACCACAGTGCTTCTGGTCAGAGCCCACAGACGATGATTCCATCGCTAAACAAAATTTGCGAGCCCAGAAAAGCCCGGTAAACCTGCAAACTCTCAACCCTAAACCCTGAGCCTAAACCCTGAAGCCCAAACCCGAAGCCCTCCGACGCCGTCTGACATGTCGGAGCGGAAGTTGTGGAAAAACGCTCGGGGCTGGGGCTTTTGGGCCCCGGACCAGGCCTTGACCTTTTGGGGGGATTTAACTTCGGAGCACTCCGTAGCACTCCGAGCCTTGGCTCCCTCGGCACCGATCTGGTTGGCAGCAAGGTCGATGAAGGTGACGCTGCCGTTCGTCTTGAGGGCCTTGGCTAAGGCCTGCGGCGAGGGGATGGTGCAGGTCCGCAGCTGGCGGCTTTGGGGGAGCACGCAGGGCGTCCTTTATATCGGCTTGGGGCTGGCCAGGGCCCTGGGGCTGTTGTATGGGGCTTCCGGAACCCCCAGTTATTCCGGGGAGCGATCTGCTGCTGCAATCAGAGTTCCAAATCTACGCCATGCCCTTGCTACATCTGGTCACAAACCTGAACAAGAATTCTACACTCGAAGGCTATACGTCGTCTACGAAGATCAACTACAGTACGAATGAGCAACGTTTAGCAGCACACATGAGAAGAAGGATGACAGCAATATGAAGGAGCAATACACCAGCAAAACTGGTAACGCCAAGTAATTGCAACATTAGCAACATAGCAGCATGCGGATGCCTGCATCATGTGGCTGTTACCTTCGAGGTTACCCTGGCAAAGAGAGCTGCCATCCTGATTTGTATAGGAAAGAGTGTGTCACTTTCGGGGCAGGGCAGTTTCAAATGGCCCCGATTTCACTTCAGGCCTCGATGTGGAAGAATGTGCGATCTCAGGCTTATGCATGGGACGAACCGTGACATCGCGAAGGCGCAACTTGCCAATCAGCAATTTCACGGAAATTCTGCCTGATGCCCATCTGAGATGGGTTCTGAAACATGATGGTCTTCAAGGCTGTTCAGCCTTCCTTCACACGCTTTCGGGTGCTACAAGTAGATTTGCGCCAGCTTTGCGCACCATGGCCTTGGGGCGTGTTCCGGGAGGCTATCGCTTCAACTATGTCAGTTCCGGGCGATGCCTTCTAAGAAGTGTGATTGTCCCTACAATGTACATACGGTTGTCATCGAAGTCCCTCGACTACACCGTACACCGTACTCTTTCTGCCATATTGCCTGCGAGTGGGGTATGTGGGCGGAGGGGCGAGGTGGTCCCGCGAAATATGCGGGACTATTTCCATGGACCACAGTGCTTCTGGTCAGAGCCCACAGACGATGATTCCATCGCTAAACAAAATTTGCGAGCCCAGAAAAGCCCTGTAAACCTGCAAACTCTCAACCCTAAACCCTGAGCCTAAACCCTGAAGCCTAAACCCGAAGCCCTCCGACGCCGTCTGACATGTCTGAACGGAAGATGTGGAAAAAAACGCTCGGGGCTGGGGCTTTTGGGCCCCGGACCAGGCCTTGGGCTTTGCGAGTGCTTGGGGGGACGTAACTTCGGAGCACTCGTAGCACTCCGGGCCTTGGCTCCCTCATCACCGATCCGGTTTCCATCGAGGTCGATACGGGCGACGGTGCCGTTCGTCTTGAGGGCCTCGGCTAAGGCCTGCGGCGAGGGGATGGTGCAGGTCCGCAGCTGGCAGCTTTTAGGGGAGCACGCGGGGCCGGCTTTTTATCGGCTTGGGGCTGGCCAGGGGCTGTTGTATGGGGCTTCCGGAACCCCCAGCTATTCCGGGGAGCGATCTGCTGCTGCAATCAGAATTCCAAATGTACGCCATGCCCTTGCTACATCTGGTCACAAACCTGAAAAAGAATTCTACACTCGAAGGCAATACGTCGTCTACGAAGATCAACTACAGTACGAAGTAGCAACGTTTCGCAGCACACATGAGAAGAAGGATTACAGCAATATGAAGGAGCAATACACCAGCAAAACTGGTAACGCCAAGTAATTGCAACATTAGCAACATAGCAGCATGCGGATGCCTGCATCATGTGGCTGTTACCTTCGAGGTTACCCTGGCCACTGATTTCACTTCAGGCCTCGATGTGGAAGAATGTGCGATCTCAGGCTTATGCATGGGACGAGCCGTGACATCGCGAAGGCGCAACTTGCCAATCAACGGGCTCAATTTCGCGTAATTCTGTTCTGAAACATGATGGTCTTCAAGGCTGCTCAGCCTTCCTTCACACACTTTCGGGTGCTACAAGTAGATTTGCGCCAGCTTTGCGCACCATGGCCTTGGGGCGTGTTCCGGGAGGCTATCGCTTCAACTATGTCAGTTCCGGGCGATGCCTTCTAAGAAGTGTGATTGTCCCTACAATGTACATACGGTTGTCATCGAAGTCCCTCGACTACACCGTACACCGTACTCTTTCTGCCATATTGCCTGCGAGTGGGGTATGTGGGCGGAGGGGCGAGGTGGTCCCGCGAAATATGCGGGACTATTTCCATGGACCACAGTGCTTCTGGTCAGAGCCCACAGACGATGATTCCATCGCTAAACAAAATTTGCGAGCCCAGAAAAGCCCTGTAAACCTGCAAGCTCTCAACCCTAAACCCTGAGCCTAAACCCTGAAGCCTCCACCCGAAGCCCTCCGACGCCGTCTGACATGTCGGAACGGAAGTTGCGGAAAAGACGCTCGGGGTTTTGGGCCCCGGACCAGGCCTTGGGCTTTGCGAGTGCTTGGGGGGACGTAACTTCGGAGCACTCCGTAGCACTCCGGGCCTTGGCTCCCTCATCACCGATCTGGTTGCCATCGAGGTAGATTTGGGTGACGCTGCCGTTCGTCTTGAGGGCCTCGGCTAAGGCCTGCGGCGAGGGGATGGTGCAGGTCCGCAGCTGGCAGCTTTGGGGGAGCACGCAGGGCCGCCTTTATATCGGCATATATCGGCTTGGGACTGGCCAGGGGCTGTTGTATGGGGCTTCCGGAACCCCCAGTTATTCCGGTGAGCGATCTGCTGCTGCAATCAGAGTTCCAAATCTACGCCATGCCCTTGCTACATCTGGTCACAAACCTGAAAAAGAATTCTACACTCGAAGGCAATACGTCGTCTACGAAGATCAACTACAGTACGAATTAGCAACGTTTAGCAGCACACATGAGAAGAAGGATGACAGCAATATGAAGGAGCAATACACCAGCAAAACTGGTAACGCCAAGTAATTGCAACATTAGCAACATAGCAGCATGCGGATGCCTGCATCATGTGGCTGTTACCTTCGAGGTTACCCTGGCCACTGATTTCACTTCAGGCCTCGATGTGGAAGAATGTGCGATCTCAGGCTTATGCATGGGACGAACCGTGACATCGCGAAGGCGCAACTTGCCAATCAACGGGCTCAATTTCGCGTAGTTCTGTTCTGAAACATGATGGTCTTCAAGGCTGTTCAGCCTTCCTTCACACGCTTTCGGGTGCTACAAGTAGCTTTGGGCCAGCTTTGCGCACCATGGCCTTGGGGCGCGTTCCGGGAGGCTCTCGCTTCCGCTATGTCACTTCCTGGCGATGCCTTCTAAGAAGTGTGATTGTCCCTACAGTTGTACATACGGTTGTCATCGAAGTCCCTCGACTACACCATACACCGTACTCTTTCTGCCATATTGCCTGCGAGTGGAGTATGTGGGCGGAGCGGCGAGGTGGTCCCGCGAAATATGCGGGACTATTTCCATGGACCACAGTGCTTCTGGTCAGAGCCCACAGACGATGATTCCATCGCTAAACAAAATTTGCGAGCCCAGAAAAGCCCTGTAAACCTGCAAGCTCTCAACCCTAAACCCTGAGCCTAAACCCTGAAGCCTCCACCCGAAGCCCTCCGACGCCGTCTGACATGTCGGAACGGAAGTTGCGGAAAAGACGCTCGGGGCTTTGGGCCCCGGACCAGGCCTTGGGCTTTGCGAGTGCTTGGGGGGACGTATCTTCGGAGCACTCCGTAGCACTCCGGGCCTTGGCTCCCTCAGCACGGATCTCGTTGGAACGGAGGTTGATTACGGTGACGCTGCTGTTCGTCTTGAGGGCCTCGGCCAAGGCCTGCGGCGAGGGGATGGTGCAGGTCCGCAGCTGGCGGCTTTGGGGGGCACGCAGGGCCGCCTTTATATCGGCTTGGGGCTGGCCAGGGGCTGTTGTATGGGGCTTCCGGAACCCCCAGTTATTCCGGTGAGCGATCTGCTGCTGCAATCAGAGTTCCAAATCTACGCCATGCCCTTGCTACATCTGGTCACAAACCTGAACAAGAATTCTACACTCGAAGGCTATACGTCGTCTACGAAGATCAACTACAGTACGAATGAGCAACGTTTAGCAGCACACATGAGAAGAAGGATTACAGCGATATGAAGGAGCAATACACCAACAAAACTGGTACCGCCAAGTAATTGCAACATTAGCAACATAGCAGCCGGATGCCTGCATCATGTGGCTGTTACCTTCGAGGTTACCCTGGCAAAGAGAGCTGCCATCCTGACTTGTCTAGGAAAAAGTGTGTCACTTTCAGGGCAGGGCAGTTTCAAATGGCCCCGATTTCACTTCAGGCCTCGATGTGGAAGAATGTGCGATCTCAGGCTTATGCATGGGACGAACCGTGACATCGCGAAGGCGCAACTTGCCAATCAACGGGCTCAATTTCGCGTAATTCTGTTCTGAAACGTGATGGTCTTCAAGGCTGCTCAGGCCGGCTTCATAGTTCGCAGCTTCTTCATCGAAGCTCAAAGAAGCTACCAGTAGAGGCTTGTGTGTGTGCCAATACACGTGCGCAAGCAAAGTAGGCCGAGCGTGCGAGGCTCAGCAAGCAGCTCAACAAACAATGCATGCCAAACAGAAGGAAGCGCTCCTACTTCTGAGGGCCGCGCAGAACCAGACTAAACCACGCTGGGAGACTGCAAGCTCAATTGGCTCACAGGCTTAGGGCAGCGAGAAGCTTATGTTCCCAAAAACAGGCTCAGCCTTCCTTCACACGCTTTCGGGTGCTACAAGTAGCTTTGGGCCAGCTTTGCGCACCATGGCCTTGGGGCGCGTTCCGGGAGGCTCTCGCTTCCGCTATGTCACTTCCTGGCGATGCCTTCTAAGAAGTGTGATTGTCCCTACAGTTGTACATACGGTTGTCATCGAAGTCCCTCGACTACACCATACACCGTACTCTTTCTGCCATATTGCCTGCGAGTGGAGTATGTGGGCGGAGGGGCGAGGTGGTCCCGCGAAATATGCGGGACTATTTCCATGGACCACAGTGCTTCTGGTCAGAGCCCACAGACGATGATTCCATCACTAAACAAAATTTGCGAGCCCAGAAAAGCCCTGTAAACCTGCAAGCTCTCAACCCTAAACCCTGAGCCTAAACCCTGAAGCCCAAACCCGAAGCCCTCCGACGCCGTCTGACATATCTGAACGGAAGTTGTGGAAGAAACGCTCGGGGCTTTGGGCCCCGGACCAGGCCTTGGGCTTTGCGAGTGCTTGGGGGGACGTAACTTCGGAGCACTCCGTAGCACTCCGGGCCTTGGCTCCACCGATGTGGTTGCTACCGAGGTAGATTTCGGTGACGCTGCCGTTCGTCTTGAGGGCCTCGGCTAAGGCCTGCGGCGAGGGGATGGTGCAGGTCTGCAGCTGGCGGCTTTGGGGGAGCACTCAGGGCCGCCTTTATATCGGCTTGGGGCTGGCCAGGGGCTGTTGTATGGGGCTTCCGGAACCCCCAGTTATTCCGGGGAGCGATCTGCTGCTGCAATCAGAATTCCAAATCTACGCCATGCCCTTGCTTCGTGTCACAAACCTGGGAATGCTACATTCGAAGAGTATACGTCGTCGACGAAGATCAACTACAGTACGAATTAGCAACGTTTAGCAGCACACATGAGAAGAAGGATTACAGCTATATGAAGGAACAATACACCAACAGAACTGGTAACGCCAAGTAATCGCAACATTAGCAACATCGCAGCATGCGGATGCCTGCATCATGTGGCTGCTACCTCCGAAAGTACCCTGGCAAAGAGAGCGGCCATCCTGAGTTTTATAGGAAAGAGTGTGTCACTTTCGGGGCAGGGCAGTTTCAAATGGGATTCCTGGCAGCATTCTGGCCCTGATTTCACTTCAGGCCTCGATGTGGAAGAATGTGCGATCTCAGGCTTATGCATGGGACGAGCCGTGACATCGCGAAGGCGCAACTTGCCAATCAACGGGCTTAATTTCGCGTAATTCTGTTCTGAAACATGATGGTCTTCAAGGCTGCTCAGCCTTCCTTCGCACACTTTCGGGTGCTACAACTAGCTTTGTGCCAGCTTTGCGCACCATGGCCTTGGGGCGTGTTCCGGGAGGCTATCGCTTCCGCTATGTCAGTTCCGGCCGATGCCTTCTAAGAAGTGTGATTGTCCCTACAGTTGTACATACGGTTGTCATCGAAGTCCCTCGACTACACCATCCCGTACACCGTACTCTTTCTGCCATATTGCCTAATACCACCTTACCCTCAACTACGACCCACGCTCTCCAGGCGAATGGAGTATGTGGGCCGGGTTGGGCGAGGTGGTCCGGCGAAATATGCGGGCGTATTTCCATGGACCACAGTGCTTCTGGTCTGCAAGAGCCCACATCGTACGATGATTCTATCCAGCGCTGTAAACCTGCAAACCCTGAACCCTAAACTCTGAAGCCTAAGCCCGAAGCCCTCCCGATGCCGTCTGACATGTCTGAACGGAAGCTGTGGAAAAAAGAAACGCGCGGGGCTGGGCTTGTGGTCTCCGGACCAGGCCTTGGGCTTTGCGCGTCGAAGGCTTGGGGGGAATTTCACTTCAGAGCACTTCGTGGCACTCCGGGCCTTGGCTCCCTCATGGCCGATCTGGTTGCCATAAAGCTCGATGCTGGTGACGGTGCGGTTCGTCTTGAGGGCCTTGGCTAAGGCCTGCGGCGAGGGGATGGTGCAGGTCCGCACACATCGGCTTGGCCCTGGCCAGTGTTGGAAGGGGCTTCTGGGACCCGGGTTTCCGGCAGGGTTCCTAGATAATGATGTAAGCGATTGTTTGCAGCATGATGAGTACTACATCAAAAGCTGGTACAGCTAAGCAGTTGCAGTGCATTAGCACGGCATACTAGACAGCGAACGTTGTGCTCTTTGCGGCCCCAGCACACTACCTGCAGTAAACTGTTCCATACAAGACTGAAGACTATGCCGTACAGTGCTGTGATGCACTGTGCTATATTTTGCTATATTACCATCTTACCATACGCTCTACGACCCACCCCTCTGCGGTGGGATGCTTGGAGTATGTGAGGGTCATACGCGCATGGTGCATTCCTAAACTTGAGACTGCGGCTGCGAAAGCCAGACGCGCACCGGCGTGTTTAATTTTACGCACGCAGCGGCGCAAGCTTACCAAAGACATTTGAAGAACTCCAGTGGTGAAGAGCTTCTACCCATACATTGCGAGTGTGCGCACATGCCTGCTCAACTCTGCGTCCCAACGAAAACAAGGCATTTTTTGGGGGGACCGCCCACACACCCAGCCCCCGCCCCGGGTTGAATCAATCATTTAAGGTTTAAGGGGGGGAGGGGGGCCCCCCTAACACGCCATTAACTAAAGTCTTTTCATACCACTTAAGGCCCGCAGTCGCCTGTTGATCCACCTGAATCACTTCAGAGAAATTGATCGGTGAACGACGACTCCCACATGCTCCGAGGAGCTAGCTTTCGTGATTCTCGGTGTCCCTGGACCTGAGCGTCCTGTGTTTGCAATTCGCGACCCGCAACCCTTGTACTCGGACAGTATACGGTCTACATACAATAGTGCAACACACATTAGCAACACACAGCAGAAGAAGGATTGCAGCAATATGAATCAGCGATACCCCAAGAACTGGTAAAGCCAAGAAAGTATATAGGGTGGGGCCGACATATCAAAATAGCCTGCGCCTGCGTGATGTGCTTGTTACCATCCAAAACCCAAACACAAGGACCGGTGAACTGGCAAAGAGAGCTGCCATCCTGACCCCTTTTGGAAAATCAAGAAAGAAAGACTAAATACATTTTTTTGCATGATCCCCTCATCAGGTTTTACGTTTAAAGTTATCCCCTGAACGTTATGCTAACTCGCGTTAACAAAAAAGTCTAACTCTCGAATTCTTCTTCCCTTCGAGCCATGGAGTCTCTAGATCCTCAGTAGCTCGTGAAACTTGGAAAGGTGGGCTAACTTTTGAGCTTTTTCGGGGCCTTGCGAATAGACAGTAGAATCACAAGGACTTTCTTCAATTTTTGATACTTTTTCTGGAGCGTGCCAATGGACTTGCGCGATGTCTCAAAGTGCATTGTTCTGCTCATAGCTAAGACGTCTTGTAGATTCTCTATTTCTATTCAGCTCTGGTTGCTTTTGTCACGTCCATTTTGCCGTTGCGAGGACCTATTGCTATTTTGCCTTTGATTTAGGCAACCTTGATAGCCCCCTGTTCCATCACCATGCAGAACAACCGTTGAAGTCACCATGTGATCCAGGAAACTGCGATCATGGGTCATTACCAATAGGGTTCCGTCATAATCAAAGAAAACATGTCCTGTAGGTGATGATCCAGTGTATCCCTATCCAAGTCCTTGGTTGGATCGTCCAAACCATAAATGTAAATTGGTGAGCCAAAGATAAAGCCAATGAAAATCTGTTCTTGTCTCCTCCTGAAAGTGATCAAGCAGGACGTGTCACCTGATCGGAAAATCTTTTAAGTATGCGACAACATGGGACACGACAACTGCCAGTGAGTCTTTCTAGGATCTAATTGGGTAAAGAATGTTTTCCTCGATGTGCTTGTTTCTTGTTGAGTTTCCTGAACCCGGCTTTAGATCTCCAATTAACATGTTGAAAAGGGTCGTCTTCCCGGCTCCAGTAGGTCCTATCATTCCAATAGTCCCCTCGGGTAACGTTGATACTGAAGAGGGACGAGGACTTTATCTCCATATGCTTTACATAACTGACGTCTTTCAATTGTATGCCGTGTCGATTTATCAAGACTGTCAGCCTTTAACCTTGCCATTTTCAGAGTTTTGATTTGCTTTCTCTTCCGCTGTGCGGGAATTCCCTTGTGGACCATTCCGTGTCTCGATAATCTTTGCTAAAATTCAACTGAGATTTGGTCTCCTCATCCATGATTTTTTCAGGCCACTCCTGAAACTTCATTCAAGCGTCTCACATTTCCTCGATCTAGCCACAAAGTTACTGACGTTGTGTTTGAGAGAAGGCCCGGTCGTGGTAAATACAAAAGAAAGCTTCCCCGATAGCTATTCATCTTGGCTCCAACCATTCAAGAGTTGCCATGTCTGAATGGTTTGACGTCTCATCGAAATAACATATCTGGTTCTGCAACAAGAGCTTGGCCTGTCCCCTGAAAGATTCCCAACTAGCCGGCCCTTTGGAATCCCGACTCCTTCAAGAATTTTTTCCGCCTGATAGTGGGTTGCCCCTTGTGTGACTCCACGTGCTCGAATGCTGTGATATTGTGAGAAAACATGGGGTCTTGAGGCATACGAACTTATGTTCCCGTGTTGGACAAAACCCTCTCCATCGTCTGGCCCAACAGTTCCAGCGATCACCTTCACTTATGTTGATTTATGGGAACCATTTTCGTGGGAGAATGGGAGCTGCCATAAAGGCCATTCTAACTTGATTTAAACTTAGGCTGCCTGCATCATGTCAAACCCGAGTTCATCATCGCCTAGCAAGGGGGAGCTTTTTGAGTTAAATAGTTGGTCATGCCACCATCCATTCTAGAGATCCCATCCCGAAGCTGACACGATTCCAAGCTAAATACGACGATTATTTTTGCCTTCTTTGGAAACATCTATGTTGGCTTGAAAGGCAACTGATTTGAACTCATCAAAAGAAGTTCCTGTCCCCAACACATTAACTCATTCCCATTTCTCATTCCCATGTTGATCGAGGAATCTTAAATCAGCAGCCACTCCTCGCCCATGCAAAAACCCTTCTTCTGCAAGAAAGGTCTCATCAGGAGCATGTTCGCACATAGCCATTTCGCCTCAGAAGGCCTGAAACCATCTGGCATAGACTAGCTCACGAGCTAGCTTGGCTTTTGCAGCCTGCCGTGACATACCCAGAGGTCTGCGGCGAGGGGGATGGCGCAGGTCCGTCGCTTTGGGAGAGTTCTTCCGGGCCTTGGCCCCCTCCTCACCGATCTGGTTGCTCTGAAGGTTGATGCGGGTGACGGTGCGGTTCGTCCTGAGGATCTCGGCGAGGGCCTGGCGGCCAGGGGGGATCCGTCGGCCTGGGGGCGTTGGGGGAGAGCACTCCCGGGCCTTGGCCCCCTCGTCACCGAGCCGTTTTGCTGCGAGCTTCAGGTCGGTGATGCTGCTGTTCGCCTCGAAGGCCTTCTTTACGGCCTGACAAGGACACAGGGAGGCTGTGATCGAACTTGATTGTGCAAAAAAGGCCCCTGGAGTTTAAGGTCTTCTCGAGCGAAAATGCGTTGACAGTCTGATGTAGTCGTGTGCCTAGTTTGGTCTCGTGATGTGTCGCCAGCATCTCTTTGCACGGTTTGTGAGTCTGGGATGGTCAAGGGCTTCAAGTTCATGCCTGTTCGCCTGATGGCTCGGTGTTTCAATCGGTACGGAGAAAACGTATTGCACTCAATCTCGCTTCAACAAAAGTCACGACTTGGTTTTCACGCAGCATGCATTGCGCGCCGCTGCAGAATGCCTGCTATATACCTGCATAACAGCAGCACGACAGCCCCCCCAAATGCCCAGCAGACCCGGGGTGTTAGGGAAGCCACGAGCTCTGAGCAAGGGTTTCTGGAGCTCCTCCTAGAAAGAGCCATCCAAGCCATCCAACCCATCCAAAGTCCGAGGCCCCGGGGTGACTCCCTGAACTTCAAACTTCGGTGGGCCCCCGATCCCTCTGCAACCCATCAAGAAAGAAACAAAACATCCAACTCACGTCGTGCTCAGGTCAACAGCACTGTGGATTTAGAGGCGGGCTGCGTTGCGCATCGTGCCTTGCGGAATTTTGCGGTGCATTATCACAACACAACGCTTAGCCGCAGCCGCCTGTGTCCCGCGAGCAGCCATCTCGCTCACGCCACCAGAACACCAACACCTGCGTGATACTTCTTATGGATTCGCAGGAGTTCAGTGAGCTTTGAGGTTGCGGGCGTACCAGAAACATCCTCAGTAAACACGCCTCCAACTGCACGCGGGGGTTTGCCACGGCTCTACGTAATCTAACGTCTCAATTCATGGCCAGGGCTGGGTTCAGGAGACCTCTCAAGGCTAAACTGGCTGCTGCGATTTGTAAGTACTAACATCTACTTCAGCAGAGGCTCTTCAAAAAAAGACGGGGAATTGCTACCGCTGTCTTGCTCAGATGCTTCATCCTGAATGTCCCTGAAACTGCAGCCCTCATCACCGGCTCCAAAAGCTTTGCTTAGCAGCTCCGAGCAGTCAAACACCTCCCGCCTCCAGCAGCTGCCACAGGGATCAGCCGAGGCAGGGTAGCATCCAAGAGGAGTTGACCAGTTTTGTCAACTTCGTGGCCGTGCGCATGTACTGGTATTACGTTGCGTTGGTGGAGCTGCGGAGCGAAGCTGGACTGTAACGCGGTTTCGGGCTCGCGAGTGAGATCGGTCGAAGCTCAAATCCGCAGTGCGCATTCAAAGCTGCCAATGTAACGTGATGATTTGCATCTCTTCTGTCACTGAGTTAAGCCGCACAGTACTGCAGGTGCGCAGGAAGTCGAGGCTGCAACATCCACATTCATGAATATGTGACGGTCTCAAGGGTACGAAATGTGCAGAAAGCACAGCTTGCCATTGCCCCCAACTTGTGAAAGCCAGAGCATGCAGCTCTGGTAGTCGCACAGTCCCTAAACATATTGGACCCGGACAACAAACGCACAACAGGGATGCCTTTGCCACAGCTGTAATGACTCACATGAGTTTTAGCGCTTGTCGAAGAGCCCTGGGCTGCGAGGGCCTGTAGCCGAAGGCTATACATGTGGCCAAGATGTGCAGGCACATTTTCTCAAAGCCCTTGCGAGAACCATGCTTATCTGACTGCAACACATAGAAGCGCACGCACGCAGCGGTCTTTCTTGCCATTCCATTCGCTCGATGCCTCTGCACCACTCCGCTCACGCAACTTAAGGTGTGAAAGCCTTGGGGATGCTATCGGCGGGTTGGAAGATGCCCGGACTCACGTGAGGGCTGCTTAAAATTTCAAGCCCTGCATATCCTTCAACCCTCAAACCCTCGAGTTCAGATCCCTCACTGTAACGTGATGCACTCTGGTAGCTCAAAGCATCCCTCAAGAAGCTCCTGAAGCTCAGAACCCCGTGAGCCCCACACAAAAACTGATGCCCTAAACTCCCCAAGGCTCAGAGGCGCAGCGTCGCAGGACGCATCCAGCCGGCGGACGAGGTCCGCATGGTCGCGCCGCTCGGAACACGCATGGCAGCACAGGAGGAAGAGCTGATGTTCGCGGATGCAGGTGCGGATGCGTATCTCAATGGCACTGAACCTCCTCATGAAGATTCTGGACTTGCCACATTCAACCTATCGAAAGACAGATATGGAGGGCGGTCGATGAAGTGGTCGTGCTACAGGCAGCAGTCTACCACTTCTTATGTAGACACATTTGCGCGAGCTCGTTGTCAATTCATTCTGCCAGGCAAGGCCAAGGTCTTCTTGGCTTTGACACAGGCCAATTCGGCGACGGCATGTTCTAGAAACAGGCCGAAGATGGGCAACCTGCGCGCCCGAATGAACGAGGAGACTTTCGCGAAGATGCTCTTGGTGGAAAGGATCGCGACCGTAGACACCACTTTTCTAGAGATCTGCTACCAACTCCTCGTGCTGAAACAGCGCAGGAACACATGGGACTGACGTGGCCTTTGGCCTTGCTGTCACGTCTTTGTGCTGCCTTCAGCAGCGACAACAGCCAAAATACAGCCACTCTCTAGTTAACGAAAAGTGGAACGCGCCACAAACAGGGAAATGATTCTCACGAGGTCGTCTTTAGACGTCCTGCGTGCGTGCAGATTTCTGCTGCACCACGGAGCTGCCCGCCGCAGCCGCACTGACCTTCTGGAGGTACGCGTGCTCCGTGCTCATCACAATCCGCTGCAGAATCCGTGGCAGCCTGGCCAGAGGGGGGCCACACAAGGCACGCTTCACAATCAGCCGAGTCACTTACAGTACTAGTATGTACTAGTTCAGCTGTTTCACAGAGGGGGTGTCTTGTATGGTGATTCGGCCTTTTGGGAAGTGGGCCCTTGGACTTCCAGTCCAGGCATCTGCACTTCAGCTCCTCCACTGCTGCGATGGCCGCATTGAGCCGGGCTGTCCAGGAGAAGTGCTTCCGACATGCCTGGAGCGCCACCTCCACTGCTACCAGAACTGCAGTCCAGAAGGGGTACCTGCAGCTTCCAGCTTCGAGGGAAGCCAACTTGACTGAATGCTTTGCGGAGGCCAGGTTAGGGTTTGAGCCTTGGGCTACTGGTAGCTGCTTTTACCGTTTGCAGGGATGGGCCGAGTACACCTTCTAGCGCTGAGGGATGCGGATAAGAACTTCAACACTTCAACTTCGGAGACCTGATTGGGCCTTTCAACGCGCTTTCGAGGGAACTGGTTGCCCCAGCTGTTCTTCTTTCATTCCCCGCCCCCCAGGGTCTTCTGCTGCAAGCTGGACAACTGATCTTTATAACTGCAAGATCTGCTTCTGGGAATCTGATGAGACCTTCGCATGTTAGAGTTTAGAAGTTTAGGGTCTGCCAGGAAATTCTTCCCCTAGGGTTCGGTCTTGAGTCTTGCAGTGTATTGTTTGAGGGGTTTGGGAGAATGGCATCTGAAACGAGCAAGCCAAAAACCCTGAGACCTAAAACTCTGTCACCGAGGACGTGGTGCCCGAAAGTGGCCAGGGTTGTAGCAGTGACACCTCCAGTGATGTTGAGGAAGTCCATCATTTTGACGACGAAGGTCAAATTTGCCACATCCTCCTGCGAGTTTTCGATTCAGGGCTAGGGGCTGGGGGATTTCGGGTTTGGGGTCCCAACAGGTAGGGCTTGGGGCTGGGGTTCATCAAACCATGCAGTCTGAGCGGCCTCCATTTCTTGAAGACATGGCTCTAAGCGAAGCTTCACATAGTCATCGACAGAGAGGCACTCGCTTCGTCTCTCTGTGTGCTCAGCGGAATCTCTCGCCTTAGCTTCTGGGACCTTTCCAAGGCCAAAACACCACGTTGCACCGGTCTCCGTGTCCGGCTTGGCTTTGGGCTTCATGGAAGAATCCTGCTTCGCAGGCCGGGACTTCTCTGCACTCTGCCTCCTCTTCTTCTCCGAGTCCTCGGACTGCGCTGGTTGGATCCGACTCTGAGACGGTCGAGCCCGTTGCGACTCGATGTCTGAATCTGGGCAGAGGCAGCAACAGCCCCGCCAGAGTCGCCTCACATGCTTCCTCAGAAAAGGCGGGGTGCTGAAGTGCTGTCCAGGAAGGCCCAGTGAACCCACTCCACGCACGATCTCTTCGCACCGCTGCACAAACAGATGGCGCGCATGAGCCTCCGGGTTCCCTTGTGGTGGCGTCACCTCATCCAGCAAGTCCTCGTCGTGCAGTCGGCCTCTCAGCCTGTAGATTCCCACATGCGCGCGGAACTGAAAGATGTGAGACTTCAGTTGCGCCGCTGCTCCTGCAAGTCTTCCCCACCTTTGGAACCACTCGAAGCGCAGCGTCATAGCCGTCAGAAGCGAGCCAAGTCCAGCAAGCACCGGCAACAGCCATGGGACAACTATGGGCGGAAGCGTGTACAGGATCTCTCCGCTCAAGATCTCCTGAACTTCTGAATCTGTAACATTCCGCAGCTGGGCGACGAGACTTTGCGCCAGCTGGCTCTGCTTGTCGTTTTGCGTTGTCATCAGAGCCACTATCTGGGAAGCCAGCGTCAGAAGAACCAAGAGCCTAATCTTTGGCAACACAGCATCGAGGAGGGAGGGGGTCCATGCAACAGCTGCAACAGCGGCAACTGAGTGGCAACTGGGGCTGTGACAGGGCCAAGCGATCGGCATACCACTTCTGAGATTTGGCCAGGGCTGTCAGGTGGTCGTGATCCGACCAAGCCTCTACAGGGACTTACAGGTCCTGAGGGACTTACAGGTCCTGAGTACACAAAGGTTCCTACATGGCAAAAGGAGCTGCCAAAGCTACTCGTGATATTCACCACACCTGGTCCACCGTTTCTTGGTCAACCGTCTCCTCCAGCTCGTTGCTAGGAAGGAACATCGCATTGCCTGCTGAGCTCACACAGGTGAATTCCGCTGTCGACGCCCTGACCCTAGAGCTTGAAGGCAACGCTCTTGCACAGAGAGAGAGACAGAGAGAGAGACAGAGAGAGAAGAAGAAGAAGAAGAAGAAGAAGCTGATGATGATGATGATGATGATGATGATGATGATGTCAAAGAAAATTCAAAGGGGCACCTTGAAATACTTTCATTGAACCTCGGCCTATGCACATCGCGACGTCATCCTGCATGCGATATCTGTTGGCGCTGTCCAACGGGCTGAGCACGACACAACGCTGCACGATTTGATGCCACCGGTCTGTATAAAGCTTCGCAAGTTGTCCCAAATCACCTGGTGTCCACGTGTCCGTGTCCGTACTGGCACTCAGTTTCTGCAACTCGATTTCCAGTTGTTCTCGGAAATCCGAGGGCAGAGGCTTCTCAGTAGGGCACTTTCTGGCGAGCACATCAGACCTGAGTTGCCTGTTCACGTCTGATGGCCGGCGCCCGTTCCTGCGAAGGTTTCCGGGCTTGCCTGTGGCGACATCGCTCTGGCATTCAAGGTGATCTGGCCAGGCCAGGCGAAGTGCCGTTTCGTGGATGTGGGCGAATCTCTGGCAAACTCGCCCCGTGTCCGCCAGCACGATGAGCGGGGTCCCCTTACGGATCATGTCCAGGATGGAATTCAGTGTTCCACGCCCTCCGCCTATGACGATGGAGCCGATGATGGCCTGCGAGCCAAAGTCCAACTCCCAAAACTGCGGGGACTCGGTCAGGATATAGTGTGTGCCTAGGGAGGCAAGGGGAAAAGGCAGCTGACAGAGGCGGTGGCATCAACATGCAGGGGCAGCCAAAACAAAAGAGCTAAGCTGTGCGATGTAGGGTAGGGGAGTTCAGGCCTCCCCGAAACAGCCACTGCGTCCAGCTAACTGTTTCAGCTCCCGCGCTGTTCTTAGAAGTGGCTTCCCAACCCTTTTTCAAGCCATCCTCATCCCAGAAGGCAGTTCTCAGATGCACATGAGGCGGACATTGCTCGCCCAGTCCGCAGCAGTTCTTCTCGAGGTCCGCAGTCATGGCTTGGCCCTCCCTCAGAGCAGCCTCGACTTTTGATTGGACCTCAGGATTCGAGTCCATTCCCGGAATCTTGGCATAGAACTTCGTGCTGGTGTACCGATCGCGCTTCGGCGCATCGATCACGATGATGATCGGTTGCTTCTCGAGAGTCTTGGACACCTCCTCAAGCAGCACATGCCCACCATCTGCACCTCCTCAGGTCAAACGCTGCTGCTTCAGGCTTTGGGATGCTCCGGGCTGCCGAACTAACTAGGTCTTTGCCCCAAACTTGCTTTTGACCTTGGCGTAATCTCTGAGTGTGAGGGCAACGCACATTGGCTTGCCAAGAATTCTGCCAACTGCGTTAGGCCCTCGGGCTTGAGAGCTTGGGGTCCACGAATGAAGGTTGTTGGTTGCTAGCTTCGGGTGTTCCACCAGGCCAGGTTCAACTTTCCACGCCGGCACCTCATGGTGAGCTCTACGCTCCGGGCTCAATGTTCCTTGGGCCAATCAAACCCTAGGCTCTCAACATCCAGCCCCAAGCCCAGAGCGCCTGCGACTAGCAGCCAGCAGTTTGCCTCAACTGCTGTCGAGATGATGGACCGTAGCCTGGGGGGGTTCGGCTGTGGTTTCATGAGGTTGGGAGCTTCTTGGATTTTTGGCTTAAGGTTTTGCTTGGGAAATCACACTTCAACAAAAAACAAAAGCCTTACACTTCCAAACTTGTGAACCATGCTTTGGGTTGAGGCTTGGGCTGTGTCGTCTGCTCCAATACGTTCGGCAACTGAGTGTCCCACATTTGCTCTAGCTCGGCATAAAGAATGTCGTTAAGTCCGCGCAGCGCCCCTGCGCTGATACTTGAACTTTGTGAGGTCGAGCTTTGGGTTAACATAGTCCGCAATTCCGCACGGCAGATTGCAAAACCCTCTTCAGCAGTCCGCGCAGGACCCTTAGTCCCTTCTCGGCAATACTTGTTCAGCTCTTCTGCCAGCTGAAGTATTCGCGCACCAGGACCAGGGTCCTCCATCTCGCTCAGGACATCCTGTCCCGCATTGTGATGACTCAACTGTTCCTTGCACACTACCGTGTTGGAAGCCCTGTCAGTTGTCCAGAGCGGCAAGTAGGGTTTGTGGGTAGCGGGAAGTTTCTTGGCATCCAGCCCGATATAGCCCGCTCCACCAATCACCACCCTAAGCCTAATCACGCGAACCGTAGTCAGGTTGGGGCTCCCACAAACGGAACCAAATGGAAGCGCGATCACACTATCGACACAAGAATAGCGGGGGTTCAAGGCATGATCTTGTGCTGCATGACGACTTTTCCTTGTGCAGCCAAGCATCGACACTGATAAGGTGTTTGGGATGCGCATAGCCAGACTGTATCCCCAGAATCATGCTAGGCGGTTCCAGGTGCCACGTTTGCCGTGCTTTCTCCATGATCAGTTGGGAGTTCTCTCGCAGACCGAGGTTTTGAGAGACCCACATGTAGTGCTGCCGACGCCCATCATTGATGCTGAAGGTGCCATGCCTCAAGGCACCGCCAGGCCTCAGGGACAGTTCTTGCCCAAGGCATCAGGCATTCGACTGAGTAAACATATACATGATACATACACGAAGCCGGGCTGCAGCGACTCGTGCTTCGCGGAAGCCTGGCAACGCTCTTGTCGGCAATATGCTCAAAACAAAAACAACGACTTGAACCTGAGCGCGAGCGCAGCACCAAGATGCACCCCAAAAGCCCTCACATAGCCCACCTCCTTCGCGCGAGCTGTCTCGGCAGCCTCTTGTGCGCGTCTTTGCTCCTCCAAGTGATTCGAATGGAGAGGCAGATTCCTTGCTTCTGGTGTAAACTCTCGTGCATCTCGAGGCCTGCACTTTGGGGTTGATGAGCCAAACAACTGCTTGGAAATGGGGTGTCGCCCCGGAGGGCACGAGTCCCTCGTTGCCTTTCAACTAATCAAAAAAACTTCGCAGAAAAAACATCACAACTTTTAGAGAATCAAAAAACTAATGTGAAAGATCGCAAGAAAACTGTACTGCAGGTGCCCCAAGCCAAGGGTCAGCTTCAAAAAGGCATATTGCTGGCTTCCGCTGCAGATACTGTTGCTTGTAGCATGTCTGCCTATTGGAATCATATGGGGTTTGAAGAAACTGCTTTTGTCAGCATGAGGGTTTGGTGGGGCGCAGCCCCTCGCATTTGCAAACACAATGCAGTGCTGGCGTGATGGCTTTGAAACAAGTTCATATGTTTTGAAGCAAGCTTGCACGCCTTAAAAATCAGGGCGGGGGGGGTGGGCACGCGGCCCCTCCCATTTGCAGACACAATGCTTGCAGGATGGGTTTCAAAAAGGTTCGTATGCCTCGAAGCAATTTTCATTCTAAACCCCTCCCCCCTATTTGTGGACCCCCGATCTGGCGGCAGAGTATCTAAACTTAGAAAGCTAAATACGTGACAGTGGAACCCTGAATTCTGAACCTCAATCCCTGAAAACCCGAGGGGAGTGAGAAGAAGCGGAAGCCTGAACCCATGGCACCCTCAAAGGTTCTGAAGCAAATACGTTTTGCTGATTGATGACATTCATTCTTTATATATTTCTTCATGCATATCTGTATTTCTATATTTCTGTATTTATTTAGTTCTTTCGTCTCTTTCGTACAGTCTATCATCAGGTCTCTATTTTTCCCGTCCTTTTTTTCTTAGTTTATTGTTTGCTTATTTCTTTCGATTCTGCTTTATTTTCACCCTTCTCTCTTTCTCTCTCTCTGCACTTAAGTTTGTTTTTGATGTTTTAAAAAATGTTTGACAAAATTTAATAAGGATCTTTAATGCTTCTGAAGTTTGCCTGATTGTAGCCAGTCCTGCTCCAGAAGTACGGCTGGGCCTCAGGCGAAAGACAAGAAGCCCGGGCACTGACAATTCTGCACCAACATCACGAGCATCTCTGGTTGCTGTCTCTCCCTCTCGCTCTCTCTCTTTCGCTCTCGCTGTCTCACGGATGGTTTCCAATCGTAAGCTACTGCCCGATGTCGCCCCCGCATCATCTGAAAGGCGCCGAGACACTGGAAACACTCGCAGAGCCATCGGGCGGCGGAGAAATGACATCACCAGATGTGTGTGCCATCACTTTACCATCCAGACGATTTAAAAAAACAAACATGTCATGATATGTCGTGATGATTGATGCAAACAAAGGGCGACGCCCATACAAGCACAACAGCTGCAAGTTCTGTTTCGTGATCAGATGACAGATGTTCGTCTTCACGCTTTTAGTTTGCGTTCTAAGAGTGTCACTGGCTAGTGTAGAATCTGCAGCTCTCGGTGTTACTTGCTGTCGAGCCGTGGTGCTGCACGTTGACGGCTTGGGCTATGCAACATGCTTCAGGCATATCCTCATCTGCTCATCCATACAAGGGACGGTGTCAGTCATGCTCCACCAGGACAACACGCTTTAACAGCCTATTAAACACACTGCTGATATTTCGGAAGAAAAATGAGGGAGCACGCTGTGCGTCCGTGGCGTCTTGCACGCCTAAACGCAGTTACATCTCGACATGCCTCGAAGACGCTTGTGGAAATTGACATGTCTGATGCATGCCTGTGAACAACGAGCTGACATGCCTGCAAAAAACTCCCTTGCAAAATCACGAAAAGAGGTAAACTGCAAACACCAGCCCAAACTAACTACCTACTCCGCTTGATTCGTTAACATGCTCATATTCCCATGTGACAGGGGAAGATCCAAAGAGCCTATTGAAAGCTTGCAAGCACTGGTTGAAGTACGTCATGCAAAACATTCGGCTTTCAAACTTCATTGGGGCTGCTGAGGGCTCCGAGTTTAGGGTTTCGTCTTGGGCCTTTCGCATGCCGAAACGAGCGCTGCGACGGGGGTTCTTGCGAGATGTGATTGCCGACCAATACCCGGAGCCTTGGTTCATGAGGGGCTCGGAGGACTGACAAGGTCGAGGGTTCGGGATAGGATCCTGGCACCCAAACGTCCAAGCGACCTCAACCCCAAACCTAAACCCCACTTCAACAATAGCCCATCATCTGGAACCTTGCAGAAACTGCAGGCCGGCCCGCCTCAGCCTAAAGACGTGGACTGCAAATGTTCAACCAACGCAATCATTCCGGCGCACGCCCAGCTCCTGCGCCACACGCCTCTATCGGTCAAATTCCAAGTTGGTTGAACAAGCTTGGGGCATCCCATTCACTCCGAACAAACTTGTGTTGGAAGCCTGCAAAGCTGGCCACCTAAACTCCTTGAGTCACCCCTTCCGACCTCTACTGGATGCCCTGCGACTTCTTAACAAGAGCATGTCGGCAGAGAGTCTTCATGAGTACCGTAAGAGATGGTTCAAGAAGTGGCCAAGTTGGAAAACAAAGAGCAGAAACTTAAGCAGGGCAATAAGAGATTCCAGCAAGGTAAGACTTACACACGACTTCTCAGCCAGCAACGTCAATGCGGCTGTTCAGGCGTGTGAGTCCACGCAGCGGCTTGCATTCTTCTGAAGTGCTTGAAGGCCCCGGGAAGGGATGGTGGGCCGTAACTTTCTGGGCCTAAGTCAAGGTTCCCTAAACAACTCTTACACAGTCTTTCGTGACCACCGCTCCGGCAGGCCGGAAATGCGCCAACTTTTGGCCCTACCCTTCAAGGCGATCAGGTTGGTACCTAGCTTCCTCAGGGTTAGCCATGCCCTCTGGGCTACAGGTTGCGCTATTGGGTTCCTTCTTCTCTTTTCTTACCAGCAGCTGGAAGCTTTGGGGGATCAGAGAAGGCAATATCTTTCAAGCCGAATTTTATGCCTAGTCGCACTGGCCGCGTGAAAAGGTCAACTAAAGAACAAACCCATAGTGGCATACGTGGACAACAACTTGGGATAGTAAGGGTACCGAGCCCGTCTAATCCCTTAGACATCCTGTCCAGAGAACTTGCTTACACGATGCAAGCCGGACTTAAGACCTTCCATTCCTTCAAGTAAGTCATCTTGTTAATAAGATTCTAAACTCTTGTCAAAAACTTGTGACAAATTTTCTTAATTGGTTCAAAAGGGAATGGGAGCTGTGCGACGTTTGGCACTACAGAGTTACGCCACAGCAGACAGGTCGATGCCGGTCATGCCCAGTGACACCAGGAAAATATGTGGTCCGCATTAAGTAATTCTTCTGACCTGTTCAGTTCATGTGGAAGTGCAATTGTGGTGCAAAGCACTCTCCGTGGCAATTTTTTCAAATTTTCCAAAATGCAAGTTTCAGCACTTTTCAAGGTTTTTGGAGTTAATTTTTCATTGTTTGCAGGCGTCGCTGGGTTGTTGTTCAGCTCTCTGCAGTGGTCTTAGCCGGAATTTACCCAGACGGAATTTCTAAAAGCTTCATATTTTCAGAAATTTAGATTTTTGTTTTTGAAAACCATAAAAAATGTGTTTTTTTTTCTCCTTTTGTTAAAAACTTTTTTTTTGCTCCCTTTTTACCTGGCAAGATAGCATGTAGGAATTCCAAAATGATTTGTGTTTAAACCAACCATTCCACAGAATGCATTCTAGATTTTTTGGACGCCGCTCTTACAATGTTTTTTAAAATTTTTAAAATTTAAAATTTTGATCCAAACCAAGCCGGTTTAAAAAAAAAAATCAATTAATGTTTTTAGAATTGTGCTCAAGCGATTTTGTTTCTAAACCAAGGCATTGCAAAATCCACACTGCAGACTTTGAAATGCTTGAAAACCAGTGTTTCCTGTTTTAAATGTTTTTTCATTTTTGAAATTTTGAAAACAATCTGCTTTGACCAAGGCAACTTCGAAACCAGTGTTTTTCTGGTTTTAAATGTTTTTCATGTTTGAAATTACAAAAATAATTTGCTTAACAGGGCATCTCCAATTTGCTCAAGTTTGGTGTTGCCTTGCATGTGTCAAGCCAGACAGCTGAAAAACACAGCCAAAGTTTTTTTTTAAGGTTATGTTTCTTTGCTGGTAGCTTTGTTCAGCCTTTGCAGGTGCAAACAGGAAAAAATGCACGTCGTTAAAAACCCAAG